CTGTAGTGAAAGTGAAAGGGCCATTCAGATTTTCCTACATATTGTTAATTTGGTATAGTGTGCATTCTAATATATAAATAAATTATGTTTCCAAACTTCTACAGTTAGAATCGTGGTATAATTTTTAAAAACAGATTTATAACTGGGATATATTGAATGAATATATTTTGTTTATATATATATATATATAAAAAAAAATACAAAAAAAAAAAAATTCTGAATATGCATTATTAATGTTAAAATAAAGTCGACGTCGGACGTTTCGGTCTATTTAAGACCATCTTCATGGACATTTTCATTTAAACATAATTAACATTATAACTTATAACAAATTTAACACAAAGACGATGGACATAAGAGCCCAACTAATTCAAACAGATAACTGAAATTTTATACAGATCAGCGTTCTGTTTAAATATGATCACGTAGTCGTCTCGTGGGCGATAATTTTAAAACGTATTCGAAGATGATTTAAAAAAAATTACAAAAAATATCAAAAAGTCGATTTGAAAATTTTTTATAAAAAGTCAAAAAATCTTCTTGAAATTTGATGTTGGAATACGAAGTGAAACAATTGGCTTTTCAATCGATCAACAAAAAAGAAAAATCCTTATGTTTACAATGCAAATATAAAAAAATGATTTCAAAAAACGATGCAACAGTAAAAAAAAAACAGTTCGATAAAATTCCATTCCTTACTTGATCTATTATTTTTCCATTTTTGAAATCTTCCACGTTTTAAATTTAAATTCAGGTTTGTATTTTCAGTATTATAAGTTATGTAACAAATATATTTTGATAAAAATTTTTTTTGTATTTATAATTCATGAATATATTTATATCATATATATATATATATATATATATATATATATATATATATATATATATATATTTTTTATAGGAATCAATATACGGAATAAATTCCAATAACCAACAATTAAAATTATTTTAAAAGCGTTGCTCAATTTTACGGAGTAGAGCGAATATAATTATTTATTAAAAAATTATAACATAAATATATTTTATAAAAAACAATATATATAATAACATTTTAAATTTTTGGATTTTAAAATTTATTTTCTTAGTTTCTATAATAAATTCATTTTTTTATTTTTGTAGATTATGAAATAAAAAAACCTGGAGGATCATTTTTTTCAATTAACCTTTTTTTCTTCTCCTACATAATGATGCCCAAACTTTTTTATAGATTTCCGGTTTTATATTTATAAATATCAATTTTTTAATATAGGGAATTTTATTCGAAATTTTTTTATTCAAACATATTATGTGTATGTATTTAGAATTCGATTAAAATTCGAAAAAATATCTTTTTAAATCAGTCCTGTCTTTTTTCACATTAAAAAAATAGTGTGTGATATAAAATGCATGCATATATAATATATATATATTATATGAATATGTATATATATTTATATATTATATATATATATATATATATAATATATATATATATATATATATATATATATATATATATATGTATATATATGTATATATATATATATATATATATATATATATATATATATATATATATATATATATATATATATATATATATATATAAAAAATGTATAAAAATATATATATGTATAATTATTATATGTTTATATATAAAACTTATTAGAAAAATATGTCAATTTCAGAGATAGAGAATAAAATATTTGGTTGGATTAATGTTTTTTTGAAATATAGTTATTTTATCCATTTTTTTATTATTGATCAGAACAAATTTATATATATATATATATCAATATATATATATATATATATATATATATATATATATATATATATATATATATATATATATATATATATATATATATATATATATATCAATATATATATATATATATATATATATATATATATATATATATGTATGTGTGTGTGTGTGTGTGTGTGTGTGTGGAAATTATTTGTATATTAATATTTTATGGTAAAAAGAGATAGAGCTAAACATATTGAACCAGATATATATAAATGTATATGTATTTTTTTTTTTTCCCCATCTATTTAAAACCTCTTCTTTACTTTCATCTCCCTCCCTCTTATTCTGATTTTTAACATTAGATCGTCTATGGGGCGTATAAAAATTCGAAAAATGTATCTTTAATAATGTATTAGACATATCAAAATTCATTTTTTTCCAAAAAAAACTTCAAACCTTGCCTCTTTCTTCTGTTAAGGTTTAATTTGAGAACTTTTTTCGTCTGTTTATTTTTCTTTATTTTTGACATTCGTCCCACATCTCAAAAAATATTCTCTATAAATTCTATTTTTATTTCCGGAGTTGTTTTTTTTGTTTTTTTTTTTTTAATTTGTAGGTCTGATGAATTGGACTTACAAAATATTGATAGAAAATGGAATAAATTATGGCCATGGAATATTAGTGTTTAAGCCTTTTTTATTATTATATATATATATATATATATATATATATATATATATATATATATATAAAAATAAATCAAAATGTTTTGGTTTAAAACTCACATGAATCCAACTAAATATGCCAGCTCTATCACTGATATTGAAAAAAAAAAATAATTACAAAAATTTATATAAATATAAAAAAAAATTGAATATATATATATATATTATATATTTATATAAAAATATTTAAAAATCGATCATTCAAAATGAAAATTTTTTTTGGTTTAATTTGGCAAAATTTATCAATATAATAAATTTTTTAAATTAAATTTTTGTTATTAAATTACTCTGTTCCATCTTCAAGCGGAAAAGATTTGAATAGAGAAACTTTAAATTTTAATTTATATATTTTTCTTATTTGATACATGATTTATATAAAGTTGCGAGTGAAAAATCATATTTTAAATAAAAATTAATTTTTTTTTACTTTTTGTATAAACTATTTTTAAAAATAATTAATAAAATATAAGGAACTTTGGATTATTTTACCTTAAAGTTCCTTTTTATATTTTCTATATATTTTCACAGATACACACACACACACACACACACATATATATATATATATATATATATATATATATATATATATATATTTTTAAAAAAAAACATTTATATCACTTTAAGGTTCCATTATAATAATTTATTTTATGGGGAAAATATTTTAAAGGACTCTGGATCATCAGATAGCACTTCCAAATTGATGAAAGGAAAAAAGAAATGAAATTAAATGAATTTTCAAAAAATGAAACGAAACAAAAATTAAATTTCGTTTCAAAATCAATTATGGAATCTCTATAAATATCCTTAAATGTCTATAATTGGTAACAGAAACCATTGTTTTATATGGTTTGGCTTCTATATATATTCATATTTCTCCAATTCACTCTCGTGTGGTCATGTGTGACGTCAGGAGATGCGGTGCGATTTTCGCTTCTAGCGTCTTATATGCACGTGTTTATCGTTGCTTAGAAATCATCTATGTAAACAATGACAGACTATCATCACTGTCTTGTCCGTATATTGCTTAATATATTGTACAGTAATTGTCATCTTTGATAATGGCTTATATGTAAGCCGAAATAAAACTTAGATTGTAAAAAAAAAAATATGGATCAATATTGTGAATTTCTTTCTTCGTTCAATGATAATGTTATTAAACTTATCAGACGTTATGAAAAAAATTTACATAAAATAAATAGACAACACTTGTCTATATTATTTAATGAAACGTGTATGAATATATATATATATATATATATATATATATATATATATATATATATATATATAATAAAAGATTTGTATCTTAGCTGATTCACATTTTAGCTTCAGTATAAGAATATCCAGAGTTTCGTAGGCAGAAATACTGTCCATTTTCTTCAGGGATATTACCAATTTACTGCTTATATTTTTCGATTTTTTCTTTTTTATACACTTATCATTTCTATAATTTCCGTATCGTTTGTGTTTGTGTGTTCTTTTGTGCGCATGCGGCCATGCGTCCGGGTGTGCGGAACAAACAATACGGAAAAATTACACTTATAGGACACTTTTGCCATGTAAAAGTGATCACAAACAAGAAAATAGGATCAGTTATTTCATGGTCCCGTTTGTTGCAACTGTTCCCTCGAGTTTTTTCTATAGTAAATAGACTACAGGAATGAATTCAAGCGTATTTATTTACTTGATTGTCAAGTAGGTCTCACAATTTTACGCGGGAACTTCACAAATTAATTGAGACAAATAATTCCGTTATTATTTACTTTTCTTCGTATTTTTCCAATGAAACATAACCCAGTGCACATGTTAGTACTTCGTAGGGCCATTCCATGAAGTCCTGCCTTGCAGATTGACCATAGATTTTCGCTTGGATTTAAATCAGGAGAGTTTACGGGCCAGTATATCGTGCTTTGTTTTGCTCACTGGTAAGTCTTGCCAGTGTGTTTCTGCAGTGTTACAATTTTCGTACGCTTCCTTGAAGCAACGTCCATCGCAGACAATGAATGTAGCACAACTAATAGACAGTTGAGACAATAGTGTTTGAGCGTGATAAATATCAGATATAATCACGGATGACGCAATATTTTTCAAGGCCTAATAAATTTCATCATACACTCCGAAAATAAGATCATATTACTGCACACCACTGAAAATGACCTCCTCTGATTAAACCCTGTCACTCCAGTTGATCTAAAACTGACTGCATAGTGAAAGAAAGGAAACTAAAGCGGTTGGTTCAATTAATTTACACAAGTGTGTAGATAGATTCAACAACCACTTCTACTCTAAAAGTTTCTTTCTCGCACTTGTCACATGTGGAAATCCGTTCTGAAAATTTGCTATGATGGTAAGTGCAGCCTTCAAAAATTTAAATGCAGTGTCAATCACCATCTTCTGTGTTCTTGAACATTATTCCATTTTTAAATTTCCTCAATCATCCTCGCAAAAGTCTTCTCATTCTCTTGCACTTCCTGTAATCACCTGCTGATCTCCCTTGCACGGAAGCAAATGATTAAGAAATGTACTTATTAATTTTAAATAATAGAAAGTTTTGATTTAACCTGTTTCTTCCAGTAGAGAGCTAAAATGAGTTCGGTATACAAATCGAGGTTAATAGATAAGAACATAGATAGATAGATAGATAGATAGATAGATAGATAGATAGATAGATAGATAGATAGATAGATAGATGTGAATAGACTGTGATAGATAGATAGATAGATAGATAGATAGATAGATAGATAGATAGAAATGTACACATTAGAATAGATAGATAGATAGATAGATAGATAGATAGATAGATAGAGAGAGAGAGAGAGAGATATGGACACATTACAATAGATAGATAGATAGATAGAGAGATATGGACACATTACAATAGATAGATAGATAGATAGATAGATAGATGATAGATAGATAGATAGATATGGACTAATGACGATAGATAGATAGATAGATAGATAGATAGATAGATAGATAGATAGATAGATATGGACACATTACAATAGATAGATAGATAGATAGATAGATAGATAGATAGATAGATAGATAGATAGATATGGACACATTACAATAGATAGATAGAGAGAGAGAGAGAGAGAGATAGAGAGACATTACAATATATAGATAGCTAGCTAGCTAGATATCTAGATAGATAGACATTTTATTGAATTCCTGGTGTCAAAGAGTCTCAAACACATTTTTTTTCTTGCACGCTCCACAACATGATGATTCTGAATTGGGCTTCATATCTCATGTTGCGCATGCGTGCTCGCCCTGAGTTATTGCATTGCCTCTTTAAATTACTCTGACGTCGTTCAGGTATTCGCTGTCCACAAAATACGTCACGTAACAGGATCGGATCACTTGAATGGTTTCCAGAAAGGTCTGGTTTGTTTAATTTCGGACAGTATAGATGGACTGACCGTTAGCCCAGCGGTCATCTAGATTTTGTCCATTACACTTCGTAATCGGTGACAGACTATCAAATATGGCGCATTGTGTTTACAAATATTGATTGCTTGAGGCAAAGGATGCAGGATAAAATGAATTCGTTTTAATATGCAGCATCGGTTTTCAGGAATCTGGACAGAATTAGCAGATGTTGTTAGGAAACTAGTTTCAAAAAGGTAAAGGCTTATTTCTTTCTAGTTGTATTAATAAATCACATTTAATATGAAGTGTGGTAAAAAATGTATAATAATAATAATATTTTAGTAGATAATCTTTAGGATATTCGTGGTATAATGGTTTCAAGATAAGTTAGCACTTAACAGTGAATTCGATTCTCACTAGGTGCACATTACATTTATACATTCTTTTTATAGATACAAATATTTAAGTAAATGCTCTGTTTATAATGAACAGTATTAAACAACGTTTGCACTTTTAGCCTTGTGTCAGACAACGATTAGCATATTGTCTGGGAAGCTCGCCATTGAGTAATGTTCAATGTGAATATCATTACCGCTTTAGTTAATATCATCTTCGAGAGATGCTCTTCAGACTTAGCCTTATGTCAGACTTAGCATAGCATATAATTACATTGCCCCGCCAAGCAGCAATAGTTGGCAAAAACCACCATTACTGCTGATGTGAACATTTTTGCTCTGTACTTTTAGCCTTGTGTCAGACTGTGTTTAGCATATTGGAGTAATTGTCAACAGGAATGTCATTAGCGCTGTAGTGAAACCTATCTTCGATGGAGCGCATTGCAGCACCTTTTGAAGGTTATTTAAAGGCAAAAGACATTTTTAGATTTGATGTATTTTTTTCTTTTTTGACATAATGATCTAATGATAAAAGATCTTCCAATTAACCCATAGCTGGAGGAGAAAATGTGGATTCATGCCTTTTTATCAAGAGTATTTGCGTGGAAGTCAATATAACGAACCTGACTGTAATACGAACTCGGCTCTCCGATTTACAGTTCCAAAACATAATCCATTATACTACACACGCACATCCAAGTTTAGAGAACGGTATTCTCAATTGGTCGCCCATCCAATTTTATGAGCAGTCTTGAATTTCCTTTAAAAAAATTTAACTGCAATTATCGAACGAGAATCGGTGTTTCCACGTAGTTTAGCCGTAAGACAAATTATAACAGCCGTTTTTGGTTAACTTGTTATCCCTAAAATGTCACCCATCCGGGTACTGACCAGGCTCGACATTGCTTAACTCAGTGATCATAGATGGACCTGTTTTTGAACGTGGCATCGATGTAAGCCAATTATCCCACCCTCACGCTGTAGTTGAAAGCACCTGGTATCCAAAGTGGTTACCCATCCTGGTACGCACCAGACTGGACGATGCTTAACTTCGGTGACCGTACGAGAGCTGGTGTTTCAACGTGATATGATCGTTAGTCTATATAAGAAAACCTGCTCCCTAGTAATAGTCTCCGAAACAAACGTTTAGTTTAACGCCCTTCGACCTCCACTGGCCTTGTTCCTTACACGACAGAATATATCTTGATAATTAACGCTCGTTACCTTATGTTTCACCTGCTTTTACGAAGGCGATCAACTTCTCTGACAGTAAATACGTGTCTTTTGCAGGCCTGCAAACCGGCGATATTTCATTGTCGGATCATTTGAAACCGAATGTCAGAAGACCCCCCACCAGCTTCGGAAATACGATAAGCAGCACGAATTTGCCATGAAGGGCAAAAGTAACGCTACTCGGGTCAATGTAACTCACCTATGCAGCATTAAAACAGCCTTAAATATTTCATCTAATATCAGAAAATGACACATCGGGGTTAAGTGAACGATCTCTTAAGTGAACGATGGTCAGCTGGTTTATAAGAGCGATTAAAATGGCGATTAAAATGGCGATTAAAATGGCTTATATTAAAATTATATTATATTAAAATTATAATTAAATTATATTAAATCATTATAAAATTAAATTAAAAAATAAATTATTATATAATTATATTAAATTATATTAAATCATATTAAAATGACATATTTATATTAAAATAATATTAAAATTATAATTAAATTATATTAAATTATTATAAAATTAAATTAAGTTATTAAAAAATCCTATTATATAATTATATTAAATATATTAAATACATTATATTAAAATGGTTTATTGTATTAAAATTATATTATATTAAAATCGTAATTTAATTATATTCAATTATATTAAATTATAAATTAAACAAATATAAAATTATTATATAATTATATTTAAACTAAAATGGCTTGTTATATTAAAATTATATTATACTAAAAAATATAATTAAATTATATTAAATTATTATAAAACTAAATTAAATTGTTAAGTTATTATATAATTATATTAAAAAAGTCTGGGACACCTTCTGTTTACCTCGGAGTTCTTGACAAGATCCAGAGACGGATATGTAATATAATTGGCCCTGATCTGGCGTCTCGTCAACAGTCACTCTCTCACAGACGCGCTGTCGCCTCCCTCTGTCTTTTCTACAAATACTTTCATGGTAATTGCTCCGATGAGCTGCTTTCACTGGTTCCCAGACTCCATAAATTCAAGCGCCCTACGAGGCTGGCATCCCGCCCCCACCTTTACACTGTAGAAACTTTTAAATGTAGCCGTCTCTTCTACTCCAATAGCTTCATACCTCGCACCTCTCGCCTGTGGAACACCCTTCCCAATTACTGTTTCCCTGAGAGCTATAATCTCCAACTATTCAAATGTAATGTCAATCGACATCTCCAGTTACCTTGATCTACCCACTATCCCTCTCCTCGCCCTTTCTTCTATCACTCCTATCTTGCTCCAAATCTTCTGCAACCCCCTGCATCTTAGTGGCTTCACGCCTTGCTCGGGGCGTAATGCTTAAAAAAAATTATATTATATTATAATGGTTTATTATACTAAAAATCGCACATCGATTAAAATTATATTGAATCAATTGATTTTGTTTTTTTCAAAACGTTTTATGACGAGGTCTTACATTTGAGAATCCAGGAGAAAGTTTTAACACAAAAATGTTTTCGCCCTCGTGGGGGAAAAATGATTACAATATCTGTTTATATTTGTACGGTAATATATTTTATCGTAACAATTACCGTTTGTTACCATTTGCTGTAAGGCTATAATTTTGTTTTATTTATAATGCTCAAACAATAGATAATTGCATGCTTAATTCTCCTTATTACAGTATTAAGAAATTCTTCTACGACAACTGAGGCGAGGAAGGGCTCGTTAATTTTAACGCATTCACAACAAAAACTGGTCTTTTTAATCTTCACAGAGAACCCTTTTAGTCTTTTATTAACATGGCTGATGCTAACCTCCAGGAGAGCAATACAGGGCGCCTCATCAAGCTAAAATCCGGATAATTGAAAATTTCGGATGATTCAAAATTTCGGATAATCCAAAATTTCGAATGATTCAAAATTCCGGATAATTCAAAATTTCGAATAATTGAAAATTTCGGATGATTCAAAATTCCAAATGATTAAAAAATTCAGATGATTCAAAATTCTGGATAATTCGAAATTTCAGATAATTGAAAATTTCGGATGATTCAAAATTTCGAATAATTCAAAATTCCGGATAACTCAAAATTCCGGACAATTCAAAATTTCTGATAATTCAAAATTTCGGATGATTCAAAATTGTGGATAATTACAAATTTCGGATAATTCAAAATTTCGGATGATCCAAAATTTCGAATAATTCAACATTTCGGATAATTCAAAATTCCGGATAATTCAAAACTTCGGATGATTCAAATATGTAAATTATCGGAAACGGAAAATAAATAAAAAAAAAAACTGAAGACTCTAATATGAATTGAACCTTTAGCCTACACGGAACCGTCATATAGCCTGACGTGCTAGAGCAGGTTAGCTACGAAGGAAGCTTCTGGCTAATAACTTCGTATTATTGCTTTTAAACTGCAAACTTCCAATGATTCCTGTCGAAGGACCAATATTTTCTATAAAATTTCTCGGACGTTCAAGCGGGTAAATGTTGTTAATACTGTTTATTATAAACAGAGCATTTACTTAAATATTTATGTATATATGAATAATGTATAACAATAATACACACACACACACATATATATATATATATATGTGTGTGTGTGTGTGTGTGTGTGTGTGTGTGTGTGTGTGTGTGTGTGGGGATGTTCTTCAGAGGTCCAGTATATTTCTGCTTGTCGAATATCATCTAAAATCAAAGCCGACCGACGTGACGGCCCAACAACGCCCGGTCATGGATTGAATCACACGAATAGACAGTAAAGAAAACTTGCGGAAGCGTAAGAAAAAGCGTTTTATAAAAGAAAGAAATTTCAACTCGGAAAACCTGGAATTTTTAAAAGAAACCGCAAAAAATATTTACTCAAATAAGCGAATAGACAAGAACAGAACCACCGGTTCTTAGAAATGACTCTTTTCTTTAGTTTTACCGTTATTTTCTCTCTCCATGACCCCCTCTCTCTTTCTTTCTTTCTTTCTTTCTTTCGTAATTGTTTCTTCTTCTTCTTCTTCTTCTTCTTCTTCTTCTTCTTCTTCTTCTTCTTCTTCACCACTAACCCAGTCATCTTTCAGACATCACCATCTGTCTCTTTTTTTCAATCAATCACTGTCTCTTTCTTTCTTTTGTTTTTCTAACATTTTTTTTTCTTTTTTTTTTTTTTTTCTTTCTTCTTCTTCTTCTTCTTCTTCACCACTAACCCAGAACTTTCAGACATCACCATCTGTCTCTTTTCAATCAATCACTGTCTCTTTCTTTCTTCCTTTCTTTCTTTCTTTCTTTCTTTCTTTCTTTACCTTGTCTTTCTTCCTTATTTCTTTCCCCCCTTTTTTCATTCTTCTTCTTCTTCTTCTTCTTCTGACCCAGAACATTCCGTTATCACACTCTGTCTCTTCTCAATCATTCACTATCTCACTTTTTCTTTCTCCTTTCTTTTTTCTTTCTTTCTTTCTGACTTTCTTTCTTTTTTCATTCTTCTTCTCCTTTGTCCTCTTCTTCTCCACTAACCCAAAACTTTCAATCATCACCCTCTGTCTCTTTTCAATCACCCTCTATCTCTCCTTCTTCTCTTTCTATCATTCTTTTTCTTTCTTTCTTTTCTCTTTCTTTCTTCTTTCTCTTCATTTATTTTTCTTTCTTTTTTTCTTCTTCAATGTTAAATACATGAACACTAATGGCTTTGTCCCAATCCTCATAAATATGTTGGACACTATTGTAACGAGAGGCAATATGGTGTCTAAGTAGTCCACCACTCGCAGTGGTTTACCTACTTCACGCCGCTGGCGAGTATTGTATTTTGTTGATGTAATAAAGATTACCATTTCATTTCTAATCTCCGTTTTGGTTATTCCTCATTCAGTAACCCTTTATAGGTTATAACATTCACTGACCCAGAAGTTTCACCAATAAATATTCCTTCAGGGAGGTCCTCACCTTGAGCTCCTGTTGGGACTTACTCAACCCAGACCTCAAGTGGGACTCGTACATACGATCCATCGATAAAGATCTTGGAAAATTGGCCTGTTCCCTGTTCCACTCCAGTTTTAACGTTACACTCGAGCATCCTCTGCCCACGGACTAGTGCTTTGTTGAACCGACTCCCAAGGGGATACTCTAGGATCATTACAACCATACGCTTCGAAACACGATTGCAATTGTATAGCGATTTTGACATTTTTTTCGATGTAATATCCTAAAATAAAGAATATTGGTCTAGTTTTTATTTAAATTAAATCTTTATATTTATTTTTGGAATTGTACTCTATTCATTCTCATCAGAACCTGAATATATATATATATATATATATATATATATATATATATATATATATATATATATATTTGTGTGTGTGTGTGTGTGTGTGTGTGTGTGTGTGTGTGTGTGTCGATATAATCGGAAAGAACTGTTAGATTGATGATCTGAATTTCCTTAGTATTTTTGTTTTTATTTTTAGAAAAAATTGCTTGAAACAGAAGTAGAACCTAGATAGATAGATAGAATGAATAGATAGTTTGAAACTGTCAGAAAAGGTTACTAAATGAGAAATAAAAAAAACGGAAGTTGGAAATGAAATGGTAATCATTATAATATCAAAAAAAAATACATTGCTAAACGTCCGTGATGTAGGTAAACCACTGCTAATGGTGGACCACTTCCAAACATATTACCCCCATTTAGTTTAGTGTTCAACGTATTTATGAGGATTGGGACATACCCATTAGTGTTTATAGATACAGTATAAGATAGAAGATAGATACATAAGATAGATAGATAGATAGATAGATAAATAGATACTAAATAGATAGATAGATAGGAACAGAATAAAAATGTTATATATATGAACAGACAGTGCTAAAATCCCGAAGAAAAGGTTACTAAATGAGGAATAAACAAAACGGTGGCTGGAAATGAAATGGTAATCTTTTATTAACATTAAAATACAATGCTCGCAAGCGGCATGAAGTACATGTCACTTTCTTTTGAAAAACTTAGTCATTTTACCCCTTTTTACAATAATGCCCGATGGATTTATGTGGATTTGGGTATACCGATTAGTGTTCATAAGCACGTTATATAACACTTTTCAATCTGAGAATGAAAACAAATCAGTTTATAGTATCAAAAAGAATTAAACCATTTTGATGATTAAATATAAAACATTTATTTATTAAGATATTTCTTTTCAGAAGTATGATGTTATTTTTTTTACTCTGATGTCATCAAATATATTATGGTTTCTTAGTCACATTCAAATTAAATCTCTGCTGTCCTAAAGATCCAATGGAAGACTTAACAAATTTTTGACAAGAAGATTTAAAACATTTTTAACTTCAAGATGATTTCCTTTGTCAGAATAAATAATGTTCATCACAGAAAATTCTTCTTCAGCCTCTGAAGAACTTACAGCAATGGTATTGATTATATTTTTAATCATTATATATCGGCTATGAAATTATTTTCGTATCATCCACGAACTCGTTCGCTAAGCTTTTAAAATTTTAAGACTCGGCACTATTTTATTCCGTCCTGGGTATGACGATAAACTACATCCGCGTCCTCGGTATGACGATAAACTACATCCGAGTCCTTGGTATGACGATAAACTACATCCGCGTCCTGGGTAAGACGATAAACTACGTCCAACAGCAAGGCCTCTGATCAGGAGGTTTTGAGGAGCGTGGAACCACCTCTTAATTGCTGGCGTTTGCAAGTCCACCTTGACCCGGGGTGGTAGCACCTGTTAGGGTCCCAGCTACGGGCAAATAGTTGATATCGAAACTTGTGTAAAAATAGGTTTTAATACCAGAAATACTTTGTAATAAAAAATATATTACCAGCAATAATTTTTGAAGGAAAAATTATCAGCAATACTTTAAAAAAAAAAGAGAAAGTACTCACAATACAAACAGTTATACATTCTTTGAAAAAAAATATTACCAGCTATAGATTTCTTCAAGGAAAAATATTCCCAGAAATAGATTTTTGAAGGAAAACATATTACCAGCGATAAAAATTTTGTCGGCATTGAATAACCCATTGAGGTGTCGATATGCCGTAAACCAAACCAAACCGAACCAAACTATTTTATTCTTTTTTGTTGCTATTTGTTATTTTATACGTTCGATTATTATTCTCCATTTTTTCCTTTATGTTCTTCGCATTTATTTTATTTGGTATATTCTCTTCTAATCTTCTTAAAGTACTTTTTACCTTCTATCATTATGCCTGATGCTAGCCTCCAGGAGAATGATACATTGTGCCTTCTCGTACTAATATTTTTCATTTACATGAAGTGAAAGAATTATTTTGAATCAGTTGCTAGATCTTCTGCTAGGAAAGTCGGATAGAAGTTTCCGTACACATTCCGAGGAGCTGCATTCGCTGGTTCCCAGACTTCATGAGTTCAAGCACCCGACGAGGCTGGCATCCCGCTCTCACCCTTTCACTGTCGAAACTACTAAATGTAGCCGTCTCTTCTACTCCAATAGCTTCATGTCTCGCACCTCTCGCCTGTGGAACTCCCTTCCCTATTCTAGTTTCCCTGAGAGATATAATCTCCAGCTATTCAAATGTAATGTCAATCGACATCTCCAGTTGCCTTGATCTATCCACTATCCTTCTCCTCATCCTTTTTCTATCACTCCCTATCTGATCTTGTTCTAAATTTTCTGTAACCCCCTTGCGTCCTAGTGGCTTCCCCGCCTTGCATTTGGGGTGAAACGCTTAATAAAAAAAATAAATAAAAAAATTATAAGTCTTTCATTCATGAGAGTCGTCAACAGGGCCCGAAATTTGGCTGCTATTTCGAAAGTCCTACACGACAGATATGTACAGATTTCGCATCTGGGTTTTAGGAAGAATTTCCCCAACCAGCCTATCGTTTCCTTCAAACGAAACAAAAACAAATGGCGTATTTTAACGAATACAAACACCCACACTGAAAACTTATTACGGTTTCTGATCATGGTACCCCAGAAAATGGACATAGAAGGGGGGAAAATAATTTTCGGTGTGCAAGACAATTCTATCACCAATTCAAAGAGAAACATCACGATTTATTCGAAATGTGGCAATTGTACTGATTCCCATTTAATATACGCTGCCAAATGTACCAAACATGATTTGAATTATGTGCGTTTCACAACAGAGAAATTAAATAAAATATTTAACGGTCGCAGTCATATTGTCCGACACAACAACGTGACATCTACAGAATTGACAGAATATATGATCAAAAACGACTGCAATTTCAACAAACATCTTCGGGTACTGTTGTAACATACCTACAGACGAGTATGCCTGCATTCCATAAATATAGTAGTGAATCCTGTACGTGCTGTAGAGTTGAAGATTCGTCTCCAGCTCTGCGAGTCAAACTCTGGACAGTGAGGATCCCCAGACGAGGCTATGCCGAAGAGAATAGTCTCGCTTCAGGAAACATCTACCCGTCTCCGTTTCATACGTGGTCTACTGGCAATTTTTTTGCTGAGACTACGGGCTCGGATACCCCACATTAAATTCGGCTTTGTGCCACATCTGACCTCGTGGGGCTGTTGGTAGATATCCTACAGCTGTGTTGGTCAAACTCTCTGCCTCCGGGCTGAGAGGATCACCAGACGAGTCTATGTCGAAGGGCAGAATTTCGTTTCGGGAAACAGCTACACGATCACGTTTTATATGGGGTCTACGAGGAATTTTTAACCGAGCCGAAGTGCTCGGATAACCCACATTAAATTCGGCCTTGTGCCACATCTGGCCATGTGGGGCGGTTGATAGACATCCTAAAGTTGAAGATTCATTGTGTAATTCACTTGACTCACTTCTAGCAGTTGACGACATATTTTACGCGTCTCTAGCGAATCTTATATGTGTTGTTCTTGTGCTAAGTATTATTGTTCATTACCAGCTTTTGTTTGATTATTCTATTCAGTAACCTCCCCTGGGTTACAACAGGTACACATTCTGAGAAAATATATCCAAAATCTATCAACTTTTCACCTCTTATAGCACATGAAAATAATTACATATGCAAATTACTAACGTCCACCCCCGGTGGAATGAAAAAAATGACAGGAGACTTCCATAAGATTTATACTAAATTAAATGATTTGTTGCTCTTATTAACTTATCAAGTAACGAAGAATTCCAAGATATGAACTTCCCCTATCATGTTACTCACGTTTTAGTTGCATTCTGTTCACACTAGCTGCGTTTCATTTTCTTTGTCTTGTTGATTACCAATACAACCATCTTTTCTCAAGACGAGCGACGTTTGTAGAAAGATTTGTATTTGTAAATGTCTTTTATATTTGTATGTTATTTTTACACATAACATGAAAAAAAACAGACACACAACCGCAATATTGTTAAAAACTGTTTTTTCTTTTCTTAAAATGAATTCTTCTCTAAATCTATTATTATTATTATTATTATTTTATTTCCTTTTATTTCTGGTGTGGATGCATTTCTTTCCGGGTACCAACAAGAGACCTAAGGTTAGAAATGGCATCATGACATTTTCCACTAACCAACTAAAAGGAAAAAACACAAACATATTTTACAGAGACAAAGCCCTTCGTAAGTTGTGGGCTGTACTCGTGAGAACATTTTTTTGTATTTCTTTAAGGCATGGACTTCCAGGAATCCCTTCAATTAGTCTACTGGAATATTTTCCAACCAACCCGAGGGCTCCAACTACAACGGGGATTGTTGATGTTCCTATGTGCCACATTTTTGAAATTTC